TAATGGCACAGTATTGTGTGTAGTTGCAAGAATTCTAGGAATTGCACAGGTCTATTTTTTCCACAGGCATGGCATGTCTACAGGCATGTTGATGGCACACTTTTATGGACACATTCCTACGTAGTCCTAAATTCTTGCCCACATACCCACATGCCTTTCAAGTGGAAGTTTTACATTCTTCCCACATTTCTTCCCACATGCCTTCCAAGTGGATGTCTTAGCATTCCAAGTGGAAGTCCTACATTCTTGCTCACATTCCTGTCCCACATGCCTGCCAAGTGAATGAACTACAAACTCCTAAGACATTTTAGAATTACTTCTGTGAGTACAGTCGATAGTGATCAGATGTGCTGTTGTAGTACTGGGTAGCCGCTTGTGTTGAGTGTCCGTTGGATAGGTAAGTTTGCCATATACATTATCTATGTCTAGTTGTCGAGGTCGTGATTTGGAGTTAGTTTTTTTTTTAAGTTGCCAACACTAGTCAAAGAAGTTGCCAACACTAGTCAAAGTGTGTGTTGTTTTAGGATCTGTTATGACAATAGCCAATAGCATTTTAAGCAGGGCCCCGCATGCCCATTTTACGTAGAGTGTAATTGACTGTTTTAATTCTACGACTGTAACCGGACCGATCTATTAACGCGTGTCCTGGATGGTAAGTTTGCCATGTTCAATGATGAATCCTATGATGAATTCTACGTAAGTCAGCACAAGACGTAGACTTTAATAAATGTATCTTAAATGTTAATATAATTTATAGAGACCATGCGCGTTTTTTGTGTAAATACTACTCTACTGGAATTTGGAAAATGACCCACGCTGTCTTTCCACCAAGCTTCTATTGAGTCGCATGGTTGGGATACATTCAAGTTGATATTTATGAGTTCAAAAAAATCGGCGAGTACAATATTATCATGTGACCCGTTTCTAGCAAACTAGCGCATTTGAAGCTTGCGTTGTGTATAGACTATTACACATATTAGATGTTTTGTGCTACCGTTTTACAAGAAGTTCTAAATATAACAACTCTTCATGAATGGAAAGGATTGTTCATATAAATTTCTATTTCATTACAAATTCAAACTGTTGACACGGAGATCAGTTCGCTAGGATAGGTATATCGCGAAGTTAACTCCTCGCGAACATAAATGCACTTACATATATGTTGTACACATCAGAGGTTGACATTGATAGGTTGTTGACGTTGGTTGGCATAACCAAATATATTGACTAGATCGATTTTGTTATAGGACAAGGTAGAAGTACACATGTATTTTAGAGTTTTTTTGTGCATGCAGTCCTAAGTATGCCTAAAATTAATCATGTATGATATATGACAATACATCTGCATACTATCTACACAAGAGAGAGATTTGTACTTCTGTAAGACCATCGACACAGGTGTTTTATACGGCTTTATTTAGCCTTAAATGGATTTCCTGTTACATTACCTTAAGTTTGCCTGGCCATAGGGTGCTTGCGGAAGGCCTCCGGTTAGATAAAATACCACCCAAAAACGACAACTGCAAGGGGTCATTCGCATCTTCTGCCATGTGATGACTTTTTGAAAACTAGTAGAAGGGAAACCTTTTTTTCAGGCCCAAGATCATCAGTTTTGGCTTGCACAATAATTCCTCTCCGGCTGTCACACAGTCCTATGTGAACTATTTCCGCCCAGAACGTTGGTCCTCTGCGTGCCCAGTTCCATTTTCTTAGCCACCTCAGCAATATATCCTGTAACTGTCAAGTCCAGTCCGTGAAACGCGGGTGGTCGTCTTTAAATTGTAGGTTACTCAGATGTGTTGTTGCCATTTAAGATTTAAGCGCTTAGTGGTGGTGTGGTTTCTCCTGATGAGAACAACGACGTTTCATTCGGGAGCTCTTCGATTTGGAACAACGTGGAATTTGTACAATGCCTGCCCTTCGTCATGCGCTGAAAACCGGTGGGACAGATAGTGGTATGGTTGCTATGTCTGCATTCTTAACATGCGCTGTAAACCCTAGGGATTTGTGGCATGTCCTACTTTCTGGCCCTCATTCCCACATGTCTTCCAAGTGGATGTTTTACATTCTTGCCATTCCCACATGCTTTCCAAGTGGAAGTTTTACATTCTTGCTTCCATGCATTCGCACATGCCTTACAACATTCCTTCCAAGTGGAAGTCTTCAAGCCTTCCAAGTGGAAGTCCTACATTTTTGCTCACATTCCTTTCCCACATGCCTTCCAGGTGAATAAACTACAACCTCTAAAGACATTTTAGAATTACTTCTGTGAGTAAAGTCGATCACATTGTGAATCTGAACATGTTGGGGAAATGCTGAGAAGGAGACTTACAGATATGCACTGATGATGTCTTCGAAGCTTCTACAGTTTTCAAAATAGAATTCAAACCCTTCAGACATAGTTTTAGACATAGCTACAATTTTAGACAACTACTTTTCATCATGTAGATTTTAGTTATTTTATATACTGTTCTTCAATGTCCTTTTATGTTTGTAACTGACAATTAGCCTCTGGGCATGAATTTGCAATAAACTTCTCAATTATTATAATAGAAGAAAAAGATATCATAAGAAAGATATAATAATAGTACCTGTTTAAATGCAGCAGAGCTCAGAAGACTGTCGGTACAGATTCACAAGAATTTTTAGTCTTGTGAATCTGTACCGACTTCATGAACATCATGGGAGTCTTGTCAATCTGTACAATTTCCACAATGTCCCAAGGGTTTCCTGGAATTTCACTAGGTAGGAATTGTATGTCAAGTGTATGTCCTACATACTAGCCACATTCCCCACATGCCGTACCCAGTGAATGGTTAGCATTTTGTCCACAGGCATGCGGAATGTCCACAGGCATTTCTCTGACCCACATCTATGCCCACATTCCTAGAAACCCTTGGGAAGATCTGTCTTCCCCATGGCCCTGCTTTATGTGACCCCGGGGCTTGTTCACTATACACTCAGGGGAGGAGTGCACTGTATCTGTCTAGACTTAACAGGTACCATCATGGCAGTGTCATGGCAGTGCCATGCAAACAATAACCCTAACAGCAACCACCGTCGCCATGGCAATGTATGTTTTCATTGCCAGTCTTGTTGCAAATGTGGATATCTGATTAGCATAATTACCTTCGTCAGAAGGCTATGTTTTTCGTGGCGGCCGTGTGTGTGTGTGTGTGTGTGTGTGTGTGTATGTGTGTTTGTGCAGCTTCTTTGTTCACGGAAATATATTAGAGTATACCTTTTGGCATTTGTATGTATAAGGCAACCATTGGAACTGGTGTTTGTACCTTTCTGCTGTAGTTATCAACCCATGTGATGAGGACCCTAACTGCGTGCAAACAGGTGGTGGAGCTGGTGAAGAAATCACGTGTTCTCTATTATATATAGAGGTTTTGAATGTCTGCTGCCATTGTAACAATGGCTACGCTAGGGATGGAAAGACTTGTGCTGGTAAGTACAGCCACTTGCCATTTTCTCATTAGGGTATCATTTTCACGTCTCTATCTTCTCTGTCTCTTTCATCTATCGTACTGGCAGACATAAAACACAGACTATGATAAATGTTGTTTAAAAGAGGAGGCTTAGTATGAGCCGTTTTAGTTTTCTTCCATCCTCAGCAATGTTATGTTTGGGGATTTAACCGACAAATGATGTTCAATATTGTCCAACTTAATTATTCTTTTGACAAAAATTTATATTTTTAGAAATCGCCAATGGCCTCTTAAACTATCCTCCTTTATATCTTTCGTAGCGTATTTTTGCAAATTGGAGTTTATAATTGCAAATAGAGGGGGAAAAATACACAAATATATGGGCAAGTGGGGAAAGTTACACCTTAAATTTTGGTCGTAAATGGTTCTTTTTGACTCGACGTATGGCAATGGAATTGAGACTTTTGAGTTACTTTGTTAACTAAACTTTCATTTACTATGTGTTACAGTTTATTTATGTTTAGATCGATATGAATAAGTATTAATGAATTGGTTTCTGGTATGAGTTTGTTTCTGTTCTTGTAAAACCTGTGCCATGCAAGTCTGTGTACTGTACTTGTTTTTTGAAAATCTAATAAAAATAACGTGAAAAAAAAGCAGTTTCGTTTTCGATCAAGTAGATGGTTAATTAACTCAGAACTTAAAAAATTCACATTTTCAAGACCTACCAAAATCTCCAAATTCATTTCCGTGTTATTAACTTCTATTATGAAGGTAGAATTGTTTCGTTTTCCATTTAATTTTATCGCTAGATGTCGATGAGTGTGAGGAGAATCCTTGTCGTGCCGGGGATATATGCAGTACTGAAGATGGGGGCTTCACCTGTCGGTGCCCTCCACAATTTTCAGGTGTAATCTGCGAATTTCAATGTAAGTACCATTGTTCAGGTGGGCTTTAATAGGGTATGAATTAAACAAACCTAAACAAACCCTTGTACAGGGAGATTTAAGCTTCATTCTACAACAATGTCAAGAAACTTCATCTGTGATATCTGTGGCAGTCTAAAGACCTGTTTGTGTCTAAGTGATTTAGACATCATTTTTTTAGTTTCTGTCTTTGTGATTGGTCCGTGTATTTTGGGGATATGGCTGTAAAAGTTTTTTTATTAAAAGTAGTTGTGTATGTATATGTACTTGTACTTGTCTCCATGATTTGAATAAACAGAGGAAAAAAACATTGTTCAGGTGGAAACGTTTGTAATTATTCATTTTCCGCAAATTAGTCATGTAACGTTACCTGTAAACGTCTAAATTATTTTTCCAATAAGGTTGGGTAACCAATTTTATTGTGGATTATGTAATATTATCTCTGGACATGAGGACAAAGGTTGAGGTTATAACTTATAGTTATTGTAGTTGAAAAAGAGGAAGCTTATAATCGAAAAAGAACACATTTTTGCTGCAAAGAATTCTTTGGTACCCGTGACTTTTTAAAATAAAAACATTAGATGTTTAAGAGCATTTGGCTTAAAAATGTTGAATGTTATTTATTGTATGTCGCTGCAGCAACTGCAATAGAACCACCCAAATGTAGACGACGTACATGTGCTCAAAATGTGTGTCAAAATGGAGGAACATGCCTTGATAAAGTCACCAGCTTCTTGTTTTGTTTCGTGAATGGTGATTATGAATTCTTAGGTCCTGGAGAGAGCTGTAAAACAGGCAAGTTTCCCAATAAGTATGCCGTTATCCTGCAAGACTATTCAAAATATAATAATTCTAATAGAATATAATATTGATATAATGCTGATATTTTCACAATAGAATTGATATAGATAGGAATTCCACATTTGCATATATTAGCTAAAGGTGAACATCATTATGCACAGATAATGTACATGTGTATGTCATTTTAATTATTAATGAGGAAAAGTTGAAACGGCAATCTGTAAAAGGACAGAATTGTCAAACTTACAGTGTATGAAATTTGAGAGACCTACATTGTACAATGGGCATATATCACTACTATGCTAAAGTATACGCAGAGTAGTCAATGTATACGTATTTCCTAATGTACATGTAGGTATTCAACCCCGTTGAATGTCATGTAATTTCTGATTGCTAAATGTGACGGCGAAACTATTGGCTAGATTACTCTAGTTGCAAAAATCTTAATCTACCTCAGCCTTTCAATAAACCACAGTATTAATTTTGTTCCGCGTATATTCTTAGCTTTAGCTCAAAGTCTTTGCTTATAGAATGGCTGAAGACTGACACACTAACAATTAATTGCAGAGTGTCCTTCGGAGTGTCTGACCAATAATGGACATTGTCTAAGCCGGGACATGATAACAGGCTACGAATGTATTTGTGAACCTGGCTGGGAAGGAGATACTTGTGAAGGTGACATTTCTTTTATCAAACCCGAAGCAATTCTGACGGGTACCCACAATAAAAAAGACGTATGAATACTTTGAACATTACTCTTACCAAGGTGGTTTATTACCTGATGGTGTATCGGGGTATTTTAGTTATGTCTTTGCACACATCCGCACAGTATATTTTTAAATAGACAGCAAATTTTCTTTGCAGTGCCTGCGACGCAAGGAGCAAATGTTACTGCAATACCAACATGGGGACTGCCGGAAAACAGTACAACGGCACCCATAGTGACTACAGGTACTTTTTGATGGTTCTGTGACTAAATATTCATTATAGCCTATGTTTACGCAAGCTCTCGCTGCCCGAAGTTACTGACCCCAGACTGTCGGGCCGGCCGCCAGGAGCGTGATTTTTAGTACATGGTGGTGAAGGTATTTCAGCACCAAGGAAAGGATAGTACAGGGCAAAGGAGGGATGGGAGTGGTACAAGGTACAACAGTGTGGGAAAGTCCTACGTGTATTTGTGCTGTGTCTGTGTATTTCTGTACTCTGTACATTATTCGTTCTTTGCTTCAAGAACTACATTGTACTTATCAAAATTATGAAACGTTCTGAAAGGCGATTATTGTTTACTTGTTTGAACACAGCTGAGAGTGGCATTGTGCTTCAAGACGACGGTGTAACCGAAACTATAGACGGAACGAGCGCAGAGCTTCACTGGTGCTACGGGTTCAGGCCCAGTAAACAAGTGATCTTTGAGGCCTGGTGGTTCAAACAGACTGGTGGTGATCAGGTGCTGGTGGCCAGTCGTTACCCAGCTAGGAATGCTTCTGTCCAGTCCAGATACAAGGTGGGACTGTTGAACCTGTGATCATTACCACAATATATCTAAATGTCTATCTCTAAAAAATCTATAACATCATATTATATGATATACATATATTTGCATCTTTCTCTCTCTCTCTCTCTCTCTCTCCACACACACACACACACACACACACACACAACACACACACACATATACATAGATACATTTATTAAGTAAACACACATATAGAGAGATACTAGTAGATAAATGTATAGAATCTGATATAGAATTATAACACATTCATACACACAAATATGTACATAAATATGTACAGAATATATCATTGACCAGATGTGGAGTGTATGTCCACATCACAGACCACAGAATCATATAGATGCAATATTATGATAATATTATTATGAGTATGATTTCTTTCAATATTATGGTTTCTTTCTTCATACATGTTGTTTGTAACTGCAATTAGCCCTCGGGCATGTATTTGCAGTAAAATTTCGATTATGATCATAACAACTGTATACATATTGTGTATCTATGTATGCTAGGGGCGAGTGGAGGTATTTGGTGACGCAGACCTACTACTGAAAGCAGTAAGCCCAGCAGATGTCGGCACGTACCAGTTGTTTGCCGCCTTCAGTGATGCTTCAGATCCGCTGTGGAAGGACAGGCACCTCGTGGTTTACTGTAGGTTGATGACAACTGTTTCATTCAGAGAAATATATCTACTTGATTTACTGATCATTGCTTAGTTAAATGTACTGGATCTACTGATCAATAATCTCTAAGCTTATCTTTTGGTTGCTGCAAGTATCAAATTGGCAAGACAGTATGAAATTGGCAAGACAGTATCAAATTGGCCATGTAGTGTCCAATACGCCACAAGGACACCACTACAAACAGGAGATCCCGATGAAAACGCCTCAAAAACGTTAAAAAATAAGCCAAAGTTTACAAACCTCTGCTTGGAGAATATATGTAACTTAGACAGCTTACATTTACCCCAATTCTTCTCTTTGCGTTCATAAAATGTTTTTGATATTCTTGACTACAGTTGCGTATTATGCAAATGTACCACACAGACCCACCGACGAATATGGAAGTCACTTCAAGCCTTAGTGCAACAGAAGGAGACCAGGTGACGATTCTGGCCCACGCCAACAGTGTGCCACCTCCTACATACCTGTGGACAAAAGTCAACGGCTCACTTCCGAGTGATTCTGTCATGAACATGACTACTGGAACATTTACATTACCGCACGCTACACTAAATGACAGTGGCACATACAGGGTCGTCGCTAGTAATGACCTGGGAAACTCGTCAGGCGTTACAATCCTAACAGGTAGGATCAATCAATTGACAAGCATGCTTGGTAGACCTTGTTTGTTGTCTCTGTGCATTGGCACTGATGTGCATTAAAGTTAAAGGAAACCAAACGAATTTAACTGGAGGTGGCTATTGACAATTTACTATTCCTACTGCCTTCGATCTTTTGCTAATTTAATGTAATGTCCATGTTTATGGACACAAGTTTACAAGCTACCAATGAAATATCCTTTTAATGATGGTTGTTGTACCAGTCCTGTCTTTTTCTTTTCTTCTAGTGGAACAGGCATTTATAAAGGCCAACAATCTCGGAAATTTGGACTTGAATACACTCCTTACAGGTAAGTCCATGTTCTTGCATGCTGCATGCTATAGGGAAGGCAGTAGGCTTGTCTTTTCTAATGAACAACAAATACTGAAAGCGAAATTTCCACCGTAAGTCCGATTCTAATGGCTAATGTATAAGTAGGTTAAGAAATTAAACATCCCTAATAGTCTTACAGTAGTAGCAACTGGTACCTTTTCCTAACGCATAGATTAACACATTTGTGTATTTCCACTGATGCAGCTGAAACCCTTGCAGCTGGCGGTCGGTCCACCCCACACGTGGCAATGAGTAAGTTCAGTGCTAATGTCTATTATATAAAGTAGCCTAAGAAGTCAAACCTTTCTATGAAAAAGGTTGTCAGGAGGTAGTCTTACGCAACAGTAGTAGCAACAGGTGCCTCTTCTTAACACATTTCTGTGTTTCCACTGATGCAGCTGAAACGACTGCAGCCGGCGGACGGTCCACCCCACGGACGGTCCACTCCACCCGTGGTGGCAGACGGCCCAACCCACACGTGGTGACGGCTGCAGTGGTGCCATCCGTGGTACTACTTGTACTGGCAGTAGTAGCGGCAGTTCTGGGATACCGGTGGGTCAGAAAGAGACAAAGCGACAAGCACCCTGAAGAGCGTGACTTTCATTCCAATCTTCTAGGTAGTTTTGTCTTTCTATTGTACCCATATGTGTAAAATTGTCTATTTATAAAAAATAAGTAAAGGCATAGTCATCGGCAATTCTGTAGGCAGAGAGATTAGATCTATCGCTGCAACTTAACATTGAATGTTTGACGTTTTAGGGTATGCTGACAATCATATTACTAGTAGCTACCAATAGTATTAGAAGTAGCTTGTGCATGCAATAAAGCCAAAATATCTTTTACTGCTGTACGGAAATGATATTCAACACGGATTGCAGGTCAATAGATTGTACCAGCAGAGACTCCGATCGGGATCTCTACCCTGACATATACTAGTATATTGTTTCTCTGCTTTTGTTTCCAGAGTTAACAGAAGTGCACAGACCACCGCTCCCACTCCCTCCCCCTGTGCCGGCTCGGCCACAGTTCCTAGAGTACGAGGTAAACCCGACTGATCTACAACTGAAAGAACAGATTGGCAGAGGGGCCTTCGGCGTCGTGTTCCTTGCGTCTTTAAAGAAAGTTGTTGATGGTCTTCTTACTGAACAAACAGTGGTGGTGAAAACTGTTCATGGTAGGTCCATTTTTGCAGTGATGCTGTGTGTTGATCTTTACCCACTTTAGGAACTTGCAATGGCTGACATACATTTGTATTTTACCAGCTTTATAAAGGCTGAAAGCAACACAATGGCTGAAACGCCCAGAAATAGTCTCTGCATGTCATTTAGTAGTAGACCTTGAAAAGCCTGGGAGCAATCCGTTATGGGGTATCGGGTGTAAGGAGCCCTGTTAGTATTTTACGAGATGGCACTCAGGCTAGAGTTTGAATTGTTCTTTGAGACGAATGTTAACCTGGACCTCTAAATGTCAACAATGTATTGATTTTTTTTCCTGAAACTTGCAGAGGATGCAGGAGTAGAGGAGATAAAGAATTTTATACGAGAGGTCGACACCACCATCAACCTAAGGCAGCACATCAACCTGCTCGGTTTGGTGGGGTGCTGCACGCTGTCCCACCCTCCCTACCTGGTGACGGAGTACATGCCGTATGGAGACCTCAAGAACTTCCTACTGAAGTGCAGAAAGGTTTGATATATTTTATACTGGAAATCCATTAGATTAGACATGAAACTCTAACCTATTATTCCTGGAAACTTACAATCAAAGGGTGTACATATTTTGATCACAAAATCACATGACACGTCAATTCATAAAACTTAACCACATGAAACTACCGGGCGGGCAAAATAGTGCAACCGAAAAAATCACTTTGTATAATACTATATATCATCATCATCAGGTTACTACAAGTTTCCTCCACTTCCCCTTGTTGGTTGCTAGCATGGCCAGATATCTGTTAAACCCAGATAGAGTCGGTCATTGTAATCTCCCAGAAGCTGTTGGATGCAATGTGAATAACTGGTAAATAACACACATTTTGCATTTCTGAATTGTATACGTTTTCTTTACTTTTCTCTCGAACAGACCACCTACGTTTCCCAAGCTGGATACGTGCCCGCTGATATGGCAGCTCGGAACATTCAGGTAGGAAATGACTTAAGAAATTATATAATGCCATACAAATGTGCAACTGAACAAAGAAAAAAACTTTATGCCAAGTTTCTATCTCTATATTTATGTCTAGATAGATCTAGAATAGTTGTTTGCCCATTTTACCCATTTATGTGTTTCATTTATCTAGTATTTGTCTATTTGACTGTGGGCTGGAATGTTCCAAATGTCAACCAATGTTATAACTTTGATTAAATTACGGTGACTCTTTCCATGTAAATTCGCAACCCAGTCGGATGGGGGACTCCGTGACAGTATGTATGACTTCAAGGAGAAGAATGTCTACCAGGTAGCGCAGCAGATAGCTAACGGAATGGTAAGAAGAACCCACACAATCTCACAGCCTTGTAAACAGAATGGGGGTGATAAAATGCATTTCCAGACCTATGTGCAACATTTCAATTTTTATACATAACAACATAGCATGGACTCTTCACTTTTTGAATTGTGATGTTTTCTGACTTTTTCTCTCGAAACAGGCCTACATTTCCCAGGCTGGTTACGTGCACGGTGACCTGGCCGCCCGGAATGTTCTAGTAGGAGAGGACCTTTTGGTGAAGATCGCAGATTTCGGCCTCACTACAGACATCTACGAGCGAGGCTACCAGCGGCAGGATGCGGAGCAGAGAATCCCCCTGAGGTGGATGGCGCCGGAAAGGCTGCTGCGAGAGGGCCGGTACACCAGCAAAAGTGACGTGTAAGTACAGCTATTGCTTTGTTTTCGTCGTTTCTATAGTAACAATTTCCTTGTGTATCTCATTACCTGGATGTCTAATCTTCATCAACATTGCATATTTCAAATTTAATTTTCACGCCCAGTTGGTCCTTCGGTGTGGTGCTGTACGAGATCGCTACGCTAGGGAACGTGCCCTATCCAGGTGTAGAACGCACTGTGCTCATGGAGGAACTCCGCTCTGGGTACCGGGAACCTCGCCCTCCTGGCCTCAATCAAGACCTGTACGTGAGACTAGTAGTACATTGTGTTAATTCATTCCAATAAGAATAAGGTCAACAAAATAGCAAAGTGACAATAATGAGTTGTGAAAAAGAAACTAAGAACAGAGAATGCAGATACAAAAGACAAATGGTAAGCTATAAAACTCGTGTATAGAAACAAGTTTTGTGCTGTAAATAAATATTGAATGGATGAAGACCTTTATTGCACATATATGTTGAATATTGTATCCCTTACCAGTAGGCAGGTGTATTTAATGATGGCTAGCTGCTATTTTTCATGCAAAATGATGTTTAAAACAACTCCATTCAAAATAGAACATTTCCAATCACTGGTACAACTAACTAAACAACTAATATATTTATGTCTCATTTATGACCAATAGGTATGACATGATGCTGCGGTGCTGGCAATGGGAGGAAGACCATCGCCCAGAGTTTCAGGAGCTTTACGAGGAGCTGAACGCTGCTGTAGATTCCATGACAAAGGATTGTGAAAAATCTTGCTCCACCTCCCCACAGTGTCAGAATGGGGCAACAGAACCTGCTGAAAACTCGAACGACATCCCAGAACTGGCCCCAACAATGATGCAACTCCATGCTACTACAGACGTCTACGATGATGTTGACTCACTCACTTCTTCAAAGGAAGACTCTAGTTCTGAACCAGTGGAGACAAAGTACATCAGTTATGAAAGTGGCTATCAGAGTAATAGCCACACAGCAGTTGGGTTTAAGGTTGCACAACAAAACACGCTTATTGAAAGTGAAGGCAACGACCAGTCGCAAATGGAATCCTCAAGCCCATTGGGTGCAGCTATTATGGATACTAATAACGAGTTGCCTGTGTCAACAAATGCGCAGAAGAATGATAGACCTACTCAAGTAGGTTATCTGCCTATAGCCTCCTTGCCCCACTATAATTGAGGACAACTACAAATGTATACATGGTGATGGTTTCCTATTTGCACACTTAAATGTAATATGTACTCTACATGTTTAGTGTTTATGTGGTTTTATGTTTGTACTATGGGGATAACCTGAAATAAAGTCATTCATTCATTCATTCATTCATTCATTCATTCATTCATTCATTCATTCATTCATTCATTCATTCATTCATTAGCGGCTGGAAAATAGACAGATAACATGTCAGGGGATTTGGTCCACTAAAGGAGTACAATTTGTCGCAGTCGGGTGCTTCTGAAGTCTGGTGGAGGCTAGTAGTCAGCTGTGTATACTCTACATACACCGTGAGACAAGCACGAAAACAACCAAACAAAACAAACAAACAAACAAACAAACAAACAAACAAACAAGCAAACAAACAACCACACATTGACTTCATGTACAGGCCAATGTTTCATGTAGAACGCTACCATTTTTACGCCTCCCAGTGTACAAACTGACATTTGACACCCGTTGTTCAAGTTTCAAAAGGCGTTTCCCTCAGGGAAAATTCCAAACAGTGGACGTGGCGGAAGTACAATCTACAGCTTACAGTAGGTGGCACGTAAATGAGGGAAATGGCCGGAGCAATAAGTCTTCTCCGTATTAGCCTAGGTTTTCTGTGCATCTCAGGGGGTCGCGGACAGATGATAGGTAAGATGTTTCTGTCGTCTGGTGGTGGAATTAGATTTAGTCACAGTTTTCTAAAAAAAAGGCTAGGTCATAAGAATCATAACCCCAAGTGCCAAAGAGAACGTGCCATCGAGTGTGAAACAACCATGTCTATTTTGAACAAAACATTAGCCTTTGAAAATTTGAGTGCTTTCACCAAGAAGGATAATATTGTCAGGAAAATTTAAATTTTTGTGTCCATTTCAACGTGTTTGTGTGTTTAAGCAACTGTACGACGCCATGATACATGTAGTTGGAATGTGCGTGGGTGTTGTTCTCTAGCAAATTTAGGTTGGAAAATTTAGTCAGTTGTGAGATTTTCCATGGGCTTTTTGTACCCTCAGAGTTGGATGTTACCCTTTCCCCAGGGTCGCTCCCACGACCTTCGTCGAGGGGGTTAACATGTTAAGTAGCTTTGTGTGTGTTTGTATACAGCATATACTACACATTATACTACACCTCGAGTTGTAAGCATTAGTGAATAGGCTGGGCGGGTTTGCCTTGGAGAGCAAATGCATGGACTCTTTTGTTAGGCTAGGTCATAAGAATCATAACCCCAAGTGCCAAAGAGAACGTGCCATCGAGTGTGAAACAACCATGTCTATTTTGAACAAAACATTAGCCTTTGAAAATTTGAGTGCTTTCACCAAGAAGGATAATATTGTCAGGAAAATTTGAATTTTTGTGTCCATTTCAACGTGTTTGTGTGTTTAAGCAACTGTACGACGCCATGATACATGTAGTTGGAATGTGCGTGGGTGTTGTTCTCTAGCAAATTTAGGTTGGAAAATTTAGTCAGTTGTGAGATTTTCCATGGGCTTTTTGTACCCTCAGAGTTGGATGTTACCCTTTCCCCAGGGTCGCTCCCACGACCTTCGTCGAGGGGGTTAACATGTTAAGTGGCTTTGTGTGTGTTTGTATACAGCCTATACTACACATTATACGAGGGGTGATCCAAAAGTTCTCGGCCTCACCTAGAAAATAGAGGTCAAACGCATATTCTTTGGCATAACTGTATACTATGACGTCTTACATCACTGCACACAAAAATGCAAATTTTTACATTCATTATTTAGCACGTGACGCCCCGTGAAAATGGGGTGGGTGAGGGAAAATCACAAAAATGGCCGCACCAGAAGCGTGTGCTGTGATCAGGTGTATCGATAAAAAGCTATGTCTCCTAGGGAAATCCATAAAGACATGATCAAGTCACTTGGTGATGACTCCCCTTCTTATTTAACCACAAAGAACTGGGTTGCTAGTTCTAAGCGCGTCAAGGAGGGCACAAAAGATGAACATATGCCAGGATGCCACAAATCAGCACCATGGACAATCCAGTTGAGGCCATCCATCACATGGTAGTAAATGAAAGATGTGAGACTGTCCAACATGTAGCAGGTTCTTTGGCCTGTGTTATGACTCAGTTCACAATGTTTTGTCGAAAATCCTGGGGATGAACAAACTGTCTGCATGGTGGGTGCCTCGAATGTTTTCTGAACATCAGACGTTAAACAGGCGGGACATTTCAAGGAACGAATTCATTCCATCAAGGCAACTTACTCAAACGATTTGTCACCCAAGATGGACATGGGTTCACCACTTTCACCCCGAATCAAAACAGCAGAGCAAATAATTGATGAAGAACGGTTCCCAGCATCCCAAGCGAGTTTTAACCGTTGAAAGGGTTTTTGCTTCTGTTTTCTGGGACAGTGGGGGTAATCATTATTGACTACCTGCAAAAGGGTCAAACCATCAATGGGGTGTTACTGTGTCACCAGAATTGCGGCAGTTGAGAGCAACAATCACAGAGAAAAGGGGAGAAAAGCTCCGAGTTGACGTGCTGGCAATGCACCTGTCCACGCAGCAAAGGGGTCAGGGGCAGCAGCAAACGAATTTGGCTTTGAAGTCTTACCCCACTCTTCCTATTCACCTGACCTAGCACCGTCAGACTTCTACCTATTTCCTAAACTGAAGTTCCACTTACGTGGTCAACGTTTCCATGGTGATGATGGCGTCATTGATGTGGTTTAGGCATTTTTAAGGGCTTCAGACGAATCATTCTTCCACAAGGGAAAGGAAAGCTGGAACATCACTAGACCAAGTACATTGAAGTTAGAGGAGACTATGCTAAAAAATAGTGTAAGAAAATTTTTTCTGCCATCACGTTTTTTGGGAGAGGCCGAGAACTTTTGGATCACCCCTCGTACATCATGGCTGAATACAATGTGCTTGACATACAAGTTAGGATACAAAAACAATTCCCTAATTGGTGAGAAAAATTGTTTTGTCATGTTTTCTTTGATAACTTGTCAACAATTGGCTATATTTAAGAATACTAGCAACATATATTCCTCGCAGCCTTGACATCCTTCCAAATTGATTCCCATCCCTACAGAAGACGATATCAGACCTGAGCTGCTCCTCATACTGTGCCCTCTGTCGTCTGAGAGCCATCAACAGTGGGTCATCGC